GAGCAACTTCTTGCCGACGAATAGCCCCTATCCATTTATTATTATGAATTAACGAATACAAAATTTACCTTTGCTCGGACGTTTAGGTCGACGCTTGAATTCGAGAGAGCTCGGAGAATTTACAGCGAGTGAATTTCCACAATTCCCCCCCTCTATTTATAGGCGAGGTAAAACGGGGAAACTGAACAGGCGTCCTCAAACCCTAACCGCTCGATCAAAAGTATCCAACGGTCCAGATTTAATAACCGTTGGGCCTGTAACCGCCAGGGCCAACATGGAAAGCTACGCCAACATAGGTCTCGGTACAACATCTTACACCCGAGCTCTCGGTCCGAGCACCGCCTCACCCTAGGCCTCGGTACAAATTCCAATTACCCGTGGTCTCGGTGCAGCTTCTTACGCTCGAGCTCTCGCTCTCGGTGCCATCTTTCACGCCCGAGCTCTCGGTCCGGGCATTATTGGACGTGGAAAGAGAATGCATAATCTGCGTTTCAAAATGAAATCCAAACATGCACTCAATAGATTGAGGGAGGTCAAGTTGAATATGTTTAAACAAGATTGAGTTAAAGATACTATGAATGAGGATTAGTTGATAGTTATGTTTATGGTCAAAATTGTGATGAAAATGTTATAGGGAAAATCAAGTTGAAGACATTTTAGCCAAAACTAAGTCAAAGATAATTTGATCGAGGTCGAGTTGAAGATGTCTTAGTCGAGGCCAAGTTAAGGATGTCTTAATAATTAAGATCGAATTGGAACTATTCTATCCAAGGTTGAGTTGAAAAATATTTTGGCCAAGTTCATGCTAAAGATAATTTGATTGATACTAAATTAAAATTAAAATTAAACACCCAAGATTCAGCCAAAGATGTTCGAATCGAAACCAAACTAAAGATTTCAGATCAAGGTACAGTTCAGGCGAAGATGTCCTAGTCAAGATTGAATTAAAGATGCCCTATCAAGGTCGAGCTAAAATTGAGACAAAGATTTTATGATTGAGATTGAGCCAAAAATGACCTAACTAAGAATGATATTAAAATGTCTTAGTTCAAGTTGAATTGATGATGTGTTGACCAAAATCACGTTATTTTTTTTTTTAAGATGAGAAAAATATTTTTTAAATAGTCATAGGCACAACAAATTACTTTTTTATTGTATATAATATTTCATTAATATTTAATGGAAATTCAATAATATTAATTTTAAGCATTTAATATAGAATTTTAGGGTGAACCAACTTTTTAAACCAATTCAAGAGGTTTTCTAAGATTTATTTATTTATATTTTGTTTTATTATGAGTTGACCCCTATACCCTTTCAGTATAATGAGATGATTTATATGTCATTTGTATTACTTAACTTGGTTGAGTTGAGTTGAGCTGACCTTATGCCCAACTCGAGCAGGCCAAGCAAAACAACAACTCCCTCACACTATGCTTAGAAGATAAAACCCTAAGTAGTACCTTAACAATTACAAAATTATCTTCATGCCACATCTCTCAAGATTTAGGAGTCATGTTAGAGATCAAATTATCAAAAATAATATTTTCACATAACCATCGCAATAAATCTCTAGAAATTATGCAACTTTATCTCTAAGTTAAGAGATAAGATTAATTACTTATATATAGGACACCAGATATCGTTCTAACCCTAATTCAACTTTAAACCTAGACTCTCATCTAACATCGAAGTAATATTGTAAGTGTCGTCGTTGTATTGAAGTACAGAGAATATCAACTCTCCCACTAGAGCACATGGAGTTTTTAGTAATAACATCATTCATTAAAAGTAAATAAATAAATGAATATAGTAATCCTAAAGGTATCGTAACTGCTCGTGATCATCTTCCTAACCATAGTGCATGTTTGAAACATATTGTTGAATGTCCAAGAGGTAAAAATATGTGGAAGCTACTACTTCTTTCTCCTAAGTGGACATAATTTTTCATATTTCCAAAGAATTTCTCTTCATTCTCTTTTACTTTTCTTCTGAAAATTGAACCAATCAATAAAAGTTTACAAAAATTATTTTCCTCCTTTCCCTTGAGCCTAACATTATGTAAGTGAAACCAAGCTTCTTGTTCCGGTGGTTGTAAAACTTACCCTTTGACATTTGAGTCGACTTTATGTTTTAAGATTCAATTTCTACCTGTATTAAAATAATATTTTATAGGCAAAAATCACATCTCGTAAGTATAAATTATCTCTAGGTTGTCAACTTTGGAATTATGCATGTATCATGTCCATAAAACAAGATGCAAGTGAAAAGTAAACAAACAACAGACAAATGGCAGCTAACGCAGAAAAGTGAACCCCCTGAGAAAAGGAAAAAATGGTGTCACTCAAAATCAGTGCACCTAAACTTTCTTGATATCAATACTTGCACTCCTTTTTAAACCAAAAACTCAACAGGGGCGTTGGTTTCTCGTGGAATAATAGTGAGCCCGACTTGCCATTGGCTGTTAACAATACTATGCGTCGTTGAATTTGATGACCGTGAAGCTATGCGGATAAATATATTATAATGAAAAAGGCTTTTGAGGCCAATCTGGAAAAACAAACTAGAATACACATATATACAAAATTTCATCCACACGTGGAAACACTGTCACGTAGGGGAAAACAGATGTTGATTTACCGAGGAGGATGGCAAAAGCGACTATTGAATAATCCCCTCTGTAATCAGCAACAACACCAAGAAACCTTCAACCACTTGCAAGAAAACACCACCAGTTATGGTTCCACCTTCAGCTACGCGAAAGAAACAACTTCTCTAGTTTGTGGTGTGAAAACCTATGGGTGCATATTCGTGGTTAGCTTGCTTTTCCAAGTACTTTCATCGCCCTTCATGAAGATCTTCAGAGAAAACAGCCGTCCTCGAAATGTTGTCATAATCAAAGGCACTTAGACCAGAGTATGGACCAGAAGAAAACATTGAAGATGTCCCATCAGATTCGTAAGTGGTAGAGGACTGTCTCAGGTTGGGCCGTGTATTGGATGAGGTCAACACAGGATCTTGGGATTCTGTGATCCGTTGCACCATTTTAAGTGATTGTACCACTTCACCCATTGTAGGTCGTTGGCTTGCTTCAGGAGCAACACAGGCTGCAGCAATAGTGCAAACACGTATAAAATCTTCCTTTGGGTACCTTCCCCCAAGCCTTGGATCAGCAAGTTCTTCCAATCGGTCCTTATCTCTAAGAATTGGCCTTGCCTGAAAGGGATAACCATGTAAATTATTATCCAATGAAAATTCCAAATGTAAAATTTGAACTTAAGGAGAATAATGTGGGAGTGCCAGGGTAAGAATCTAACCCAAGTAACTAGGTTCTCTTGTCCAGTTGGCTGTGACATATCCACTGGTTTCCTACCGGTCAACAGTTCCAGCAAGACAACACCGTAGCTATAAACGTCACTTTTTACGAGTAGATGTCCGGTCATAGCATACTCAGGAGCTACATACCTACATAACAGTTTCCTTTCATCTTAAATCTAAATTAAATGGAAACAACAAGTATAAGAAAGAATAGAATGAGACTAACCCAAATGTGCCCATGACTCGAGTAGATAGATAATTAGCCCTGCCTTCAGGTGCCTGTTTAGCTAGACCGAAATCTGCAACTTTAGCATGAAAGTTGTTCTCAAGCAATATGTTGGATGCCTTGAAATCTCTGTGTATAACACATGGCTGTGAATCTTCATGCAGGTATGCAAGTCCTCTTGCAGCATCAAGGGCGATCTTCATTCTGGTGTCCCAATCCAAAGGGCAATTTATTCCCAGGTGACCTAGGATAAATAAGGGCCAATTTCAGTTAAGCATAATAAAATAGTTATGAAACATCATTGTAACCTTGGAAGATGCAAAATATGTAAATTCAATATTAGAAAGATGATCTCATGATTTAAGAAACTACAGTATATTACCATGAAGCCAGGCCTCCAAACTTCCATTCGAGACAAGCTCATAGCAAAGTAGATTTTGTGATGAGTCACGATTGCTATAGTATCCCACTAGTTTTACAAGGTTACGATGGTGCAACCGACTAAGCATCTCGACCTCAACCAAAAATTCTTTGTCACCCTGTTGCCCTCCACTAGTAAGTCTCTTAATTGCAACAGCAGTTCCGTCATTTAAGACACCTTTAAAAACTCTACCAAAACCTCCTTCTCCAAGTACACTTGCTGGTTCAAAATTATTTGTTGCTTCTTTAAGTTCTTCATAAGCAATAAAGCGTGTACTGGTTGGGTGGGGAAGCGAGCCAAAAGTTGGAACTGCACTTTCCACCCTTGGTTTTTCTGTAGGAAGGTGAGCAAAGCTTAGTAGAAGGCCTAGAAGACAAAATACTAACGCATCAACAGTCAACAGAGAAGAGCACCTTAAGTTTCTTTATTTTCTTTTCAATCTGGGTTCATTGATGGATGACATCTCATTTCTTCATAAATATTAAATATACAATTTGAGTCACACTTGCATTTCTATCTTTTAATAGCTAAAAAAGTCAACTCAAGTTAGGTTGAATTCTGCAGCAGAATTCAAGTTTCTAAATAAGGTAAAAAGGACCTATGCTATTTTTCTCCAAACAGATTTATAGCTACATGAAAACTGGCAACCTTCATAACATCAACAGTATCAATTAACTATTCTTGATTTAGCAGATAAAATTGTATACTAGTATTTTAAGTTTCACAATCAATGATCACTATTCACAATATATTAGTACACATCCATATTGAATTCCAATAAAACATTATCGAGTATTTTATAATCCACTATGAAAATACTTGTGCTAACAATTTGCACTTAAAATAATCCAGAGAACTTCTTCTCTCCTTATTTCTTTGTGTCACGAGAAGATTTTCGTTGAAAGGAACTCAATTTGCCCTCTCCTTTAATGGCTATACTTACTGCCTTTACAATATCCAAATATAAAAAGGAGACCAAACAAAATCCATGGCAGCTTTTCACCTTCAGTAGATTGCCATAAGAATGCAAAAAGAAAAATAAAATAAAAATAGAAATTAGAAAAAGAAATATTTACCATTTTCTGTGGGAGGCGGTGTTGTTTTTGGCCGCAATGTGCATAAACAAAGTATAAGTACACATACAATGGAAATGAAGAGTACGCCAGTAACAATTCCAAGAATAAGAAGCAAATTTGAATGCCTTCCTTTGTCTGAAGTACTTGATAACGTAGTTGTAGGTGCTCGTCTCTGAGGAGTTTCCGTAGGTGATGCAGCAATTGTAGGGGCTGCATTAGAATGCAAAAATATGTTATTATACATAAAAATGCATAGTTCATTTTTATCAACTTCATCAAGCCCCATGAAGAGGCAGCTGTTTGTAATTCCTCTTCCATATGATTGAATTCAGTAACCACAGAAAAATATCTGGTACTATGTTAGATTTCAACTAACAAGTACAAGAAAACTAGATGTTGTGTACACCTTCTAAAGCTTTGAGAGACCAAAGAAACGAGGACTATTGAACAATGTTGCTGTAAAATTGGATAAACTCTCTTTGGCCCTATATGTAAGGCAATTTTTTAAAATTTGTTTATGCCTTTTAACAAGACTCTTCTCAAATTGTCTAATGCATTAATTATTTTTTGACTAAAATATTCTTAATTACTTTGCAATAAATGTTATAATATTATGAAGCCTAGATACTCCAAAATGGAAAAGTGTCGGTGTGTACTTGTGTCGGATACTGATACTTCTTGGATATTTCTAGATACATATCCAAAAAGTAACCAATCTTTTCTTATTTATTTTTTAACTTTTTTTCCTTTGATACTTCCGGGATACTTATAGGATGCTTCTAGATATGTATCTAAAAAGCATCCAAAAAGCTTGTCTTAAGATTTTTGTATGGTCATGTTTCTTGTCATGCTATAGAATTGGAGTTCATACTCCTTTATTCATTATTTGAAGAAAAACAAAATGGATCCAAAAGAATAAAAGATTTTATTTATGTGCATTTCAACCCTCAAATTTCGTCTATGAAAGGTGAAGGGCATAAAAAGGAAGAGACTAGGTTGTGGGAAATTTGTAGAGATATACATCATCCACTTGATGATGTTGTTAAACTTCTTGAATTGGCATAGTTGTCTCTTGATGAACCAAACTTTGCTTTATTCTAGATGATGGTAACAAGGGAGAAGAGAATGATACAATTAGTATTAGACAATAATTTAGTAATGACGATTTTGAATCATAGGCTATTGTATAAAGCCAATACTAGTTTTAAGTTCTACCAAAGATGCTTTTATTAATATAGTTAACTTGATATGGGTAAAAACTGTATTTTTTGTTGTTATGATAAAAAATATATATATATATATCTTTTTTGTAAATTGTAATCATCATAGTTATGAATTAATGAGGAAGAATTAATATGTCTTTCTATACCCATATTCTACATCTATATAATTTTTTTCTATAAAATTTCATTAACGTATCCAAATCGTATCATATCCTAAATTTTAAAAAAATTGTCATATCCCCATATCCTTGTCGTATCTCTATCGTACTAAGTATCAGGGCTTCATATTAATAACATAAATTCATTCTCTCTTTCATGAGGATTGGAGAACATGATTAGCACACATTAATTAATTAGGTGAAAAAAGTGAGATGATGAGTTCCAATAATTTTAAGGGTAATTTTGAAAAAATAATAAAAATTGTTAACAAAAAAAATATTACTCACTACACTAACTAATTTTATTCATGAGTGTGAATTAGTTAAAAGAGTCTTACATTTAGGGATGGGGGGAATAACTCATTAAATGTGTGATACAAAAATATAGGCACACGAAAGTGTTTGAAATTGTGTAATCACAAATGCAAACACTTAAATTTGGGTTGACTTAACTCTAAAAGTTAGCTCATAAGGTGAGGACTGCCTAAACCTTTATAAGCTCTACTTTGGTTATATCTATAGTTGATATGAGATCTCAACACACTTTCCTCATGTCCAAGGCTACATTTGTGTGTGGATTTTTTGTTTTTACTTTTATATTGCACTAGTAAGGCCACAGGGCCAGGTAGGTTGCATTGGGAAAGCAGCAGAGTCAAGTAGATTTTGGGTGGCTTGATAACAAAGATATGATAGGTTCTAATACCATATTAATTTGGGACGGGCCTAATTCAACCCCAAAAGCTAGCTTATGAGATGAAGATTGCCCAAGTTTTATAAGCTCTACTTTAGTCATATGATATCTATAGTCTCTACTTTGATCATATCTATCCAAATTTACATTTCACAATTGACAATGTGGCAGAACACTTCCATAAGCATCAAAGTTATATGATCTGCGTTTGTAGGCGAATACAAAGAGAATCGAGAAACATCAAAACTAAACAGCTATCAGAAGCAATGGACAATCAGTAGATTAGTCCCTGTAGCATCAACATTTCTTTCTCTTCCTTCTTCCACCACTTAGCAGCAACATTGAAAAAACAAATGGACATGAAATTGAAATCTATATACTTTAAACAATAGAGTGCAAGTACTTAAAACATTAAAATTCACATACGTTACAGGCTTACAGCGGTTTCAATACCAAGAGGCAAGAGATAATAAACATTAACTGTGTTCTTTATAAAATAATCATCTTACTGCTACTGTAAGTTCCAAAGTCCAGTTATCAACGACAGCAAAGCATCATCATTTGTAACAACATTCTTCAGAATTTTAAAAGTATGACTCACCTTGAGAAGGAGGTGGAGGTTTAAACCAGGTTATATTGAGGACTTTGTAGTCACCCACGAATCTATGGTCCAATTGGACCTTATGCAGTAAAAGTGACGAGTTTATTTTAGCCGCTTCATCTGCAGAAAAACCAATCCCTTTATGCGGAGTGATATCCATGGATATATTCAACGTGGATAAGCTGAGTAGATAAAATTTAACAATCTCAATTTGGGTAGTCTTGAGCCCAAGTTGGATAGCCAAATCATTGAGAAAAACATTCCAGTTGGGGTTTTGAGAGACATTCAAAAGAAGCAAGTCTAGCTTTACTGGATAAGCACAGTGGCAAACTTCACTCCCTCGTTTCCACACCATGTCTTGTTTGCAACAATCTGGCAGAACAAAGATAGATAACGTTTTATATTGAAATTAACTAAGCAACTAAAACTTGAGAAAAGCAGAATCCATCTTAAAATAGTGAATCTGAGCTTAACTCATCCCTCACAAAATTGGCTTATAAATTGTTTCCCACTTATATACTCTAAATTGACCATTTCACTAGTTGATGAAGGATCTCCAATACACCCCTATGATGCAAAATTAGACAATTTCCAATATATTCTTTGATAGCATCTTAAAATAGTGAATTTGAGCTTAACTCACCCATTAGAAAACTGACAGTAGCATTAGAAATCAATTTTCCTTTCCTTAAGCAAGGACTTACCAGAAGCAGAAGGGGACAATGGTGGCTGGGCGAGAGCAGAGGGAATTGCATCAGCAATGGGATGCATGGGAGCAATATTCTTTGTGAAATTGGCACGTGACGGAATAGGAGCAGGCAAATGGCTATGGTTCACCCCTTGCGCATTTGCCGGTAGTGGGAGATCATCAAGAACAACCGGTGGTGGAGCCGGAGAGAAAGAAGGTGGTTGGAGTCGCAGTGTTGTAGCACTAGCACGTGCAGCAAAGCACAGGAAGCAAGATAACAACAGAAGCAGCCATTTGAACCCACCTGCATTATTTGCAGAATGTCAGACAAAGCCAACCTAACAAGAAAAGCTCGAGATTGCTCCACACGGGAAAACCCACGGTTACCGATTAGAGAGGCGAGCAGCGACATGACATGAGCGATGGCGGGAACGGTGGAGATCAGATCTAGAGGGTTGGGATGAAATCAACGGCGAGGAGTGAGTGAAGTGGGAGTGGGAGTGACGAGGTGTGCATAACTGAGTTGAATCGGAGGGAGAAGGATTGGGTTTGGGTTTGGGTTTGGGTGTGGAAGCCTTAATTGTGGTGAGGTGGTGACCACCGTTAACGGAACGACATTAACGGTAAGGTAACGGTAAGGGCTTACAGGGACAGGTAGCGCTCCCCCATCACGTTTCTTCTCTATCTTTTTCACGCCGCGTCACCACACCGCCATTTTTCTTTTTCAATCACTACTACTATAAAACCTTTTAAGAATATTTATTTTCAACGCAAATATATTTTTATATTTTAATTACAAAATAGTGTGCTTTTTGTTTTCCAAAAATCATGCATCAAATATAGAAAATAAACAAATGTTTTTAGTATTTTCTATATAAATTTTTAAAACAAAATGTTCATTATCTAATTAAGAAATAAAAATAGAAAATGAAAAGAAAAAAATACATAAATGGGTGTTAGTTCATAATTTTTTTTCTCCCATTTACCAAAGGAAAAAAGAAATATTAGTAGACAATTATTTTTATTTTTTTTAAGTAATCAAAAGCCTTTACAACACTGTTTTGATGCATCAAAAATATTTGTTAATTTGAAGGGAATGCATAATATGTTACAATTGCGTAATTTTTTTTTATACAAGTAATTGTATAATTAGTATAATATTAAATGCCCCTAACTAAAAACTTCCAAGTATTCGTCGGTTAAATCTTTAAATGGCTTCAGATGAGCATATGCTTGTTGTGACAAGTAATAGTTAGCGAATTTAAAACATTTATTTCTCATATTTTATGGTCCATATTGATCCGATTCAGTTTGAACAAAATTATTTTTAATAAAAAAATATGTGGTTCAGACAAAAAATAAAAGAAAAATAATAATATGTACGAGACAAAATATTTATTATTTTGAAAATAAAAACATTTGCATAGTTATTTGATAAAAAAATAAAAAATAATTATGATATATTAAAATTTTTAATCAGTATCTTTAAACATTTAAACATTTATTAGTATCTTTATAAAAAAATATTAAAAAAATTAAGATTCTTTTTTCTTATAATCGCACGTTGATTTGAAGTAATAAGACTAATGCATGCGCGTGTCTGCTATTTGGATCACACAGTGGGATAGTTTAAAAGGTCACATAATGCTGAAATTAATGCGTATTCAAGGTGAAAAACAGTGTATTTAAGTTAGAAGAAAACGTAAATAGAAAATGATTACAAATACCGTTACTTTTGTTTTAACTGAATTAAAAGATTTTGCCCACTAGAGTAGAGAGAGAATAAAATAGTTAAAAATATAAAGATTTAAATTTAATTTTCATTACGACTATTAATCTTTTTTATCTTTAAAAAAACAATTAAAAGATTTTATTAAATACAATTAAAAGACATCTTTTGGGCATGTAATATACACTTTATTAATTTATAATGATTTGAATGTTTTTTTTTAGACAAGAGACAAAGTAACAAATATCTATTTTAATTTAAAAATATAAATAGAACGAGTATTTTAACAATATTTATTAAGGTATTTTAAAAAATAAAAATAATATATTTCAAAAAATATTTTATTTTTAATTTATTTTAATATAAAGATGCTAATCTCATTTTATTTTTAACCCACCAATATATTGTCATTATTTATCATTTTATTTATTTATTAAAAGAGACCCTAACGCATAAAAATTTCTCATCAAATAGAGCATTTAACTTGTTATTTATTTATTTTTCCACATAAGAGATTTATCTCAATCGACTAAGTAAGATATCGAGTGTTGTAAGTCTTCTTAGTTAATACTGAGTTTAATTTTCATATATATATATATATATATATATATATATGTTAGCAAGGCATAAAATAATAAGACAAACAAATATAAGAAAACTACAAAAAGAACTTAACAGAAGTTGCTAGCGCAGGATAATTTTGCTATACTACAACAAATGATTGGATATAGGTTTAATTATCTTTTTAGTCTCAATAGTTTCATAAACTTTACCTTTTAGTCTTTATGGTTAAAAACATTCTATTTTAGTCCCTATACATACCAATTTTATTTCCTTTTTAGTCACTGGTGTCTATTTCTATAAGGACTAAAAGGAAAAATTTTATGCAACTATAGAGACTAAAAGGAAACAAAATTGGCATATATAGAGGATAAAATATAATATTTTTAATTATAAAAATAAAAGATAAAATTTATAAAATTATACGAAGTAAATAAAAAAAAATTTTAAGTTAGCAAATAAATAGTTAAACCTAAACTTTTTCATGCAGAAGTTTGAATTCACACACATGTAACATGCAAGGTGATATAATCTTGACAACAATAAATTACATATTTATGGTTTATATAAAAAAAAATTACACATTTATTATTTAATAACTTTTATCAAGAGGTATTTTTTTCTAATATTTAATTATATAATTGATTCAACTCATTCTTTAAAAACATATATATCAGAATATTAGGAAACACTAATTAATTTAAAATTTGGAGATGATAAACTTTTCTATTGCTGATAAATATAATAATTAATTTAAAATGTTTTTAATTTTAAAATGTTATGTTATTTAGTAGATGTAAAGAAAAAAAAATATTATAATTCAATTTTTTAAGTACATTTTACAAAAAATTGACTTTAAATTTTTTTAATTATTTTATTTTTCTTTCTCTTTCTCTTTCTCTTTTCATTTTTATATTTATTTAAAAACTTAAAATAATTGTTGAAGTGAATAACTAATTGAATTTTTTTACCGTGAATAATATTAATGTGTAATTTTTTATATTTTTAGGTTTTCTCAATTAATCGTTTTTTAATACCATTTATTTATATTTTATTATTATCTTTTATATTATTTTAGACTTAAATATATTTTTAATTTTTGTAACTTTTTTTTTATCTTTCTAAAGTTTAAAATTATTGTTTTTAGTCTTTATTATTGTGTAATATTTTTAATTACTTATTTTTCATTAAATGATTAAGTACTCGTCTCACATGTTACTTACAATTATTTGTAATATTATATTAATATGTGACATATTTAAGAAGTTTAAGAAATTCTTAAAATAAATGTTATTAATATATTTTAGGATCAAAATTTAAATTCGTTCATTTTATAAAAACTAAAAATTTATTTAAATCATAATTTTATTACATATTATAAAATTATAATTATATAAAATGTTAAATAAAAATAATAATATAATTTTAAGAGATAAAAATAATAGTGAATAATAAATAATTATACAATTCAAAAAGAAAATTAATAACTAAATTTATATTATTAAATTTTATAAATTTTATCTTAATTAGCATCAAATTATTCTAACACGGTCCTAGATGCACATGCACTATTAGCAATACATGCGGGAGCTGCCGCTGATGCAAAGGGAGTTTTTCTGGATTTGGTCTAATTACAAATATTACAAACTAATGTCTTTTCAATACAATAACAGTTGTTTCTTTTTCAATCCCAAAAGTGGGTGGTTTAGGGTTGGAAATGGACGATCCTAACATCACCATCCTAAAAAAAATTGGTGACACAGATTGTGAGGTAGATTAGGCTGAGAGAGGCGACAATGGTGAGATAAAGGTCTAGTTAGTAATCATATATACTAATGGAGGATTTTCATGTCACATAAATTTGAAAGAAAAAAAAAGTGTTTAGGATTTATGTTCACTAAATATAAGTTTCTCTGAGGCCGCATCATCAAGAAAGACATAACATAAGATTACAATCTCAATATAAGATGGCATGTTACATTTAAAGGAGATATAAAATAAAGTTTTTGCAAATAAATCATTTGGGAAGAAAAAATATTTTATAGAAAAATTGTTTAAAAAATTTTAAAATGGAAAATTGAAAAGTAAATTTTAAGGAATAATAAATCATAAATATATTTGAGAAAAGTATTTTAAAAGAATGTGAAATTAAGACTAGACTGTGAATTTACAATCTATATCCCATTAAAAAAAATAGAATCATAATTGATTTTGGAATTACAAATGATATAAGGAGGGATATATAAGTAGGTGTAGGTTAAATAACTTAACTTAGAGCAACTCCAATGGGAGTTGTTAGTCCCATGAAACAACTCAAGCTTCGATTTTTGTTATTGGAAGACTTTGACGTGGCAACATGAGTTGCTTGAAAAAGAGAAAGAGTTGCTTCCTCAGGCAACCGTTCCTACCAGATTTCAAGCAGATCTTATTGAACATATTTGGGAACGTTTTGGAAATAATAATGATGAAAATTAATTTCGTATAATGTTTATGTATTTACTATTGCTTTATTTTATTTTTAATATCTACTTATAATGTATTTTTTCTCGTAATTTATTTTCTTTCATTCTAGTGCAATTATCTTTTTTAATAAAAATTTAAATTTGGTTCATAAATGATTAGAAAAAAAATTCTAAAAGTTGAATTTCTTAAAGTTTCTTACCATTAGAGTAAATTTGTGTTTGAGTTGCTTAATACTGACATGGCACACTAGATATCACTTTTTTCATTTTTTAATGCATGAAGCAACTCAAATGAGTTGCTTCCATTGAATATACCCTTATCAATCTCGTGAATTAAAAATGTGATAGGATAAATTAACCTACTAAATTGATAGTGTAGTTGGTCAAATTGTGTAAACACTTAATCCATCAATATTTAATATATCTATAAACAAATTTATGTTTTTAATATAGTTAAAGATA